CTCTAGAGGGCCGGAAAAACAACAGCGGAAGGGAAAACTGAAACAGAACGAGACGTAAGCTTAAGTTGTACTTTTCATTGGAGTTTGTCTTCTATTTAATATTCAAACCGGTCATTTTACCTAAATTCATTCATTTTCAATTATGGATTCAGAACGGACGGTTATTAAGATTACTTGTAATTCTTGGATTACCTCATATCCTTACCCTCGTTATATTTTTAACAAACATTTCACTACGAGGCTGATACTTCGATTTCGTTGTCATTTCGCGGTGTGTCGCGGCAAATTTTGCCATTTTGGAAAGACTTACAATAAAAAGGTCTCAAAAGGGTGACTGTCTCAGTATGTATATAATAAACACAATGCCAAATAGAAACTGTTTCGTACGGGTATTTACGCACTCGTTGTTTTGTATCAGAAATCTCACTCGTTCGCTGGGCTCACTCGTTCTTTTTCTGATACGTCAACAACTAGTGCGTAAATACCGTACGCCCGCACTTTGCATGAAGTATTCTCTATAAAGGGATCGTCAATACCATGCAACAAACCGTATATTTCAGTTAAATTTGCAAGAAAATAAGTAGCGAAACAAAAAATTTTAAAAAGTCTTGGCCGTATCAATAGAAAGCAAATATTTGTCAGTCATTTTTGACGATGCGCTTTCTTTAGCATTTCAGTTAAAGATATCTTAGTTTATAAATTTTTTACTGTACACATGTTTGCACATTAATGTTTTTCAATTTGTACCGTTAATAAGTTATAATTTTCATAACCCAACGTGTAAAAAGGGCTTCTGTAATATAAATTATTTTAACTACGCGTAGTATGCTTACATAATTAAGAGGTAAATTGAAATGATTTTAATAAAACATAACTGAATTAGTTTCTTTACTTTTCTTAATTATGGGGCTAAAAGATGCATTTACTCTTGAACAGCAGGGTCGCAACGGAAAACAGTTCTTCTCCAGGAGACGGCAACCCCGGGGGGGGGGGGGGGTACTGCCATTTATGGGCTATTTAAGCAATAGAAAACGTTTTTCGTGTTTATATCAGGCTATGCAAACACAGGAAAAAGTTTTCTATTGCTTTTATAAAATAACTTTCACGAGAAAAAGCGCAAAACGTTTTGTATGGCACTGATTAAAAGAGAAATTCTTACCAGTCGCAAAATCTTGTCCACGAAGTCTTGCATGCGTAATCAGTTCTTGTTTTGCAAAAACATGTTTTGCGAAATACGAATTTTCTCGCTCAAAATGCCGGCTTAAGCGAAGAAAAATTGACTCACCTTCTTTGTAACGATTTTCCATGTTTCAGCCGACGAAGGAATGGGTGAATAAAGTAAACTTGTCGAGTTTTGAACTCGAAACACTCCTCTCGGCCAATCAGAGCAGGCGTACTATCTTAGTTATTTTATAAATAGGTATGTGACGCTGTGAAGGGTATGGTTTTCAAGCAGTTTACTCTAGGATAGGGGGGATTTGGGGAGTATAAGGTAGCAAAATTCAGCTGAACTAGCTCTGGTATAGGGTTCCAGGGTCCCAGCGGCACATCCCCACCCAGAAATTCCTAAAGTACCCCCCCCCCCCCGGGACGGCAACAAAGGGAACTGCATTGAAATAAAACGGTTTTCGTCTTTCTGCGATTTCTCCGGAACAGAAAAGATTCCGGCTTGTAAGCGACTTTCTGCTCTCGCCTCGAATGACGGAAATTCTTTCAGTGTAATTGCAACCCTTGGAACTAATCAAAAAGGGATTAAACAGATGAGTTAACTTACGCATTTCCGAATTACACAGGCTCCCACTTGCTCTCGTCATTTCCCACAATCATTGTACTGAACCAGAAGATCTAAGCCGCAACATATACAAGCTTCTAGACAATGCCAGTATAAGTGATGTCGTTACATGCCTTTCTTACTTTTGTATAGGTGCGTTCCCGGCCCCTTTTGTTAGAACTGAAACCGGGAACAGCTTACTTTTCTCTAAATCTGGTCTGTTGGTTCGTTGCTACCTGTTTGAATTTCAAGTTGTCTCACTTATTATTATGATCACCAATGCCCAAGGCTTAAAAGGTTAGTTATAGATTTAAATTTATATAAACGACATTCTTGTCCAGCTTGTCTTGAATGCCGGCCATAACGAGAGGTTCAAACGTCTGGAGGTGGAGTTCAGTCTCTTTCCAATTGCTTTAACGTAGTTCTTTAAATTGCGCCATAAAGGAAGTCATTTCGCACTACTTGTAATTAAATCCAAGGGCGTAGCCAGCCCATAGACAAGTAGCCCCGGTCCTCGACAAACTCTAGCACTTGTAATAAATTATGGGTTGTTGGGGTTAGCTAAACAGCTTAAGAGCTCAAAGTGTTGGTGAGGTTAGTGCGTACTAGTCATGCGTGCAATCAACAGAATGATAAACAATAATTTTTCAACCGGCAAACAAATAGCAAATCATACCGGTTCAGGGGGATGATATCGCTTACTATATGCCTAATTACTGATTGCTTTCCCAAGACAATTTATTGAAAAAAATTTTTTTAAGTAACCTGGTTTAGGTGTTTAGAGATTTATGTATTGTTGTGGTGGACACGCACATTTATTACCCCAATGTCCGCCCAATAATGGCGTTTGGGGTAAAGGATGGAAAGCCGGTGTTTGGTGTAAATACACCGCAGCAAATGAAAATGCCAATTCATTGTCTGTCCCTACTCTAAAGTTTCCTGTTCAGTTGAAAACTTGTAGAAAAAAGAAGGTAAATAAATCACGAAAATGTGCGCAAGTTCAACGAACGTACACTTTAAAAAATGCCTGGGCCATTATTATTATTATTATTATTATTATTATTATTATTATTATTATTACATGACATATATAATTCTTAAGGCTGTATAGAAGTGCTTAATTTCTTACTTCAAATATTTCTGTAAATTATGTACATATTTTTAAAGTTGAATGAAATTATTTTTATTATTTAATTCTTAGTCTTTGTTCTTCTTATTCTTATTATTGTTATTATTATTATTATTATTATTATTATTAATATTATTATTATTATTATTATTATGAGACACGACATTGCCAAGTCACTTCAACCCCTAATTAATGTTCACTCTTCACTCTATGCAAATATTAATGGTTTTCTGAATCGCTCAATAATAACTGCTGAAAATCGTCCAGATCTTCTTTCCTTAATCCAGTCCAAGTGCCTATGTTCCAGAATTAACAGCTGGTTTCGACTCTAGCCTTAATAACAATGCAGTGCGTAAAAAAGACAAATATCTGAACCCGATTTTAAAAAAATGAGTAGAAATTGCAGATGTCTGAAATTTTCTCCGACGAATGCTGCACAGTCTAACACATGATGAATGACATTTTGGCATTGACAAAAATCAGCAACATTATACAATCAAAAAATTACAAATCTAGCCATTAGATCAAGATATATCATCTTTTGATGTAGAAATAGGAATTGGGATAGCCTAGACTTAATGAATGCAATTTTGAATTTTTTTCTTTATTTTTATTTTTAAGTTATTATCATTATTTTTATGCACCAAAATTTCCTAGCATCAAAACATGATATTAATCAGCATTCTGATGCTACTTAAAAATAATATGAGTCATTTATAACGTTTTTATTAAATAATCTATCACGGCTATTGAAATTTAAGGTTTGAAATATATTTTCGTTTTGGTCGAATTCAAACATACAGAATTTTTACATCTTAAGGAGACTGTTTGCTAAACACCAAACTTTAAATTCCTAGTGTTGGATTTTTTTTTGCATAATTCAATGTCAAGCAGCCAATTGTAAATTGCCTATACGGGATTTACAATTGTACAGTCAAAAACATAAATAAAGTTTCCATTATTAATACTTATTAAAGTCTAATCTCAAACGTTGCACAATAAAATCATTCTTGGTCCAAACGCCGAGAAAAATCACGTCAGCGGTTAACGAGGTGGAAAGTTACTCAGACCGTATCAAGGCTTTTTAACTTATTCAAGCAGCGGGGGATAAGGTGAAAACCGACGTCAGTTACACCCAAATGTGGCTCATCGTGTCCCTCGGTAGTGTAGTGTAGTGTAGTTTCAGTTTGACGTAGTCGGTACAAGCGAGCGCACGCAACCAGAAAAGCATAAATTAAAAACATTTGTAAAACAACAATAATAAAATCACCGAACAATGTTAGGTCGCCGATCACGCATTTTACTAAGGTGACCCGCAACTAATTAAAGGTAAATCGTATCTCCGGTATACGCTACATTTAAGGTCACGTATTTATATTTGTTTTTCTTACTCTTGAGCTTAATGTTTTTAAACTCTTCTGACAATTATAACTATTCCAGTTAAATCAAGGTCTAAGGAACATATTATTTGTTCTTATAATTACACGCATTTTCAATTACGGTAACGCACGTTTTAAGTTATGGTATGTCAAAAATACTAATAAAATTAATAAACAAACAGATAAAATTAAACAAAAAGAAGGAATCGTGCAGTTCAGCTGAGTCAAATGCATTAGCATAATGTTTTGGGATAAATCAAATCTTCAAGTAATGGAAGTATAAAACACCAGTGTGCTTGCTTGTTTATTTGCTAGATTGCGCATATTGTGTTCAAAAAGAACAGAGCACTTTATTTCATTGAAATCAAATATCACAATGAAAACACAACAATGGCCGCAGGGTGAAGGCAGCGCCAATGAAGACATGCAAAATAAATAGAAAATAAAAGTAAAATGCGCCATTCATAAATTCACGATTTAAGTTCGGAATGTTCTTCCCTATTGACAAGAATAACAATTTCATTTATTGCGGTTGTCGTTGGCTGCAGCATGCATGCAGTGAAAAAGGTCGGACTTGTTCCAACTAATGACGTCAGATCATTGTCTCTGACGTGAATCCTGCTACGTACAACAAGGTATCCGGCATAATCCGCATATTTTAACCACAAATGCACAAAATATTGGTTGAACAGCTTCAGTACAGAATTGCCAGCACAGTAAGATGAATGAGGTGAAAAGAAAAGCAACCGCTAAGTATTTTGAACAAGTTCTGTGGAACAATATTTCCAAGCAGAATTCGTTCGAAGACCGACGTTTGAATCTACGATGCAGCAAGATAGACAAGGATGGAAGCGTAGCTGTTAAATCGTGGGATTCAGAACAGTTGCTCATGGTCAGAAGAAATAAAAAGCTTCGAGAACTTATCAGCTCCACGGAAGATTGCAAAAGACCTGATCACGATAAGAGGAGGTGTCATAGTCAGTTGGCCACGAGTCACCATCTTCCATCTTTAGCAACACGCGAGCGTCCATTGACAACTGGTCGAAAGACGAGTTTATCTGTCCCAAGCATACTCGACAATCGCCTTTCTCGGTCTCACCCAGATCTAACAACTGACTTCGTATTGGAAAACACAAGAAAAGAAAGTATAAACTTGCCTTCTGTGTCTAATGTTGCGGTACCGACAGTTCGCAGGAGCTCACACTCAGCGATCTCACGGAACACCTGTTTATCAGACAGTGAAATAAATACGCAAAAAAAAAGAACACTAACATGGAACAAGCCAACGATTCAGTTACATCAAAGGAATAACAATATATATTAACGCTATCGAACTTGATTTTATTGTGGTCTAGTTAAGCTTGCTCAGTGGATCTTAACAACTAGCAAGGAAATGGTTCGTGGAATATAAAAAATTAATTCATTTATCATAAAATGAAAGTATCCTTTGCAGTGCCGGTAATAACATACCTTATGGATGATCGCAAAGCGCCCTTTTTTTACGTATATGCCAGATTACAAGATAATATAATTAAGAATATAAACAAGACTCATTACTTATCAAATATGATATATTAAAAGAAATGAATTCACAATCAATATCGAATATAATGTTGTGCACTTCGCTTATTGTCCTCTAAAACACGGGACCCCCAACCCAGGACAGCCCGACCTATGGGAAAAATTATGCAATTAAACTGGAAAAAAGAACGATTGAAAAGATGCATTTGACGACATCATGCCCCTAATTTTCAGCGAATTTTTTTTTCCTTTTCGTTGCTTCTTTATTTTTCAATCCAGTCTGGTTATTTTTCCGGCTCTAATATATCACGAAATCCATGGTGAGCAAAAGTAATAGGTCGTTCCGATCGAATTGTGTAAAATTTGGGGAGGGGGCGGGGGGACAAGGTGTATTATGGGAGAGGTGCAAATGGAGAATATCAGAACGAAGTTCGAACCTAAAGTTGCAACTGTGTTAATATGATCAAGGGGTCTATTATAATCTTTACGGCTAGGCATGCAGAGTTCTCCGGGCATGCTGCTCTCGAGCGCTGCATTTTTTTTTCAGGGAAAAAAATAATAATGATAATGATAGAAGAGGAGTATACTGTGTGCTGAAAAGGCGGGATGAGACAACTGGTCCACCTAGTAAATTTAACTCAAGGGAAAACGTTCAGTTTCAGCCGCGAAAGATTTAATTTCAAAAAAGGTTGCTGATACAGTCATCCCAGGAAAATGTCGACTACCCAGGTAAAGCAGAATATAAGTTAGTGCTTGGAAAGACTAATATTCTGCACATTGATAACAACAGCTCAGTAAATAGCTTACTACCCAGGAAAAGCAGAATCGGAGAGTTAGCGCGTGGAGAGGTTAATATTTTGCTTACACAAAAAACACTTCCGTAAAGAGCTGACTACCCACATAAAGAACAATATAAGTTAGCGCGTGTAGAGGTTAATATTCTGCCCACAGATAACAACAGCTCAGAAAAGAGCTGACAACCCAAGTAAAGCAGAATATAAGTTAGCGCGTGTAGAGGTTAATATTCTGCCCACAAATATCAACAGCTCAAAAAAAGAGCTGACAACCCAAATAAAGCAGAATATAAGTTAGCGCGCGGAGAGGTTAATATTCTGCCCACAGATATCAACAGCTCAGAAAAGAGCTGACAACCCAAGCGAGGCAGAATATAGGTTAGCGCGTGGAGAGGTTAGTATTCTCACACAGTCAACAACAGCTCAGTAAAGAGCTGACAACCCAAGAAAAGCAGAATATAAGTTAGCTCGTGGAGAGGTTAATATTCTGCCCACAGATATCAACAGCTCAAAAAAAGAGCTGAATACCCAAAAAAGAGAGGTTCAATGGGGTGGTTCCTTTAGCAGTTGAAGTTTAAATTTTTTCCGATTTTGCCAATTGACCAATCGTTCAATCTTTCTTTATTTCACACTATTTAAGCCATTTACACAAGTGTACATAAGCAAGCGAACAAAATAGTTGACAAATAATCATTGAGCTAAAAGACATTTAAAAGTTCATTTGTGTACAGTGTCCAAAGTAGCAAGAGCTTTCTTGTTGGACACTGTTCTGTTCAGATAATCGGAAGCAGCAAGATAGGAAACAAAATCTCGAATAATATCAGTGTAGAACGGTTATTAACTGGAAATTTAGTACAAGAGTTTAATTAAATATTAACTTCTGTAGAAATTAATATTAACTACCGTGTTTTGCACATTTCATTTTTAAAATTTCGACGCATTTTCAAATATAGGCAAGTTCTAGGGCCTTTTAATGTCTAGAGAGAGTGTTTTTGGGGGGAACATGAGAACTGGTTTGTCCAGTTTGGAGATTCTTCAGGAGCCAGAAGACAGTGAAGATCAGCGAATGAAATTGCGAGATTAAAAATATCTTGAAACTTTTTTCTACGGTTAATATTATCTGCACTTTTTACTGTTGATCGTAAAAAATTTCCTATTTTGACGGTTGACGGTTAAATTTTAGGCCATTGACTGCCGACGGTTAACCCCATTGAGACCCACACTAGAGCAAGAATATGTTATTAGTTGAAGCGCAGAGATCATCCACAGACTAAAATTTTCATAAAGGCCGATACACACAAGGGATTTTGCTCCCGGAACACACTACTCCAGGGGCACGCTGCGGGAGCAAAGCTTCTCCGTGTGTACCACTAACGATTTCATGGGTATACTTCATCCTGGCGAGCAGAATTTCCACCCCGCAAAATGCTCCACAATATTTAACCGGTCAAATATTTGGGAGCAAGCTCCCCGGGAAATTGAGCGAACTTGAAAACGCTCCCTCGTGTGTGCTGACCCTAACACCATGTTTAAATCCACTGATTCAATTTACAACTCTTACCTGTCTATTGTTTTACCTTCATTCCAGATCATTGAAGTCACTTATCATGGCAGCAAACAACCAGGTATTTCTAGTCCCGCGGAGAAAAACTAAAGCTCTTTTGTGAGTCGTAGATCAAAATACGAAAAAGCTTAGAGAAAACAGTTAACACGGCTTGTTCGAGTCCGAGATCGTTCGTCTTCGGAGTGTATTGTGATAGAGGCCCTGCCAGGGTAAATTCCGACAAGCAACATGACCCAAAAAGCAGCGACAGAGGGTAAAATGAAATGGTGATAAGAGACAACCTCCCTCCATGTATTGATGTATAGGTGTTCGACACGTGAAATGTTAACTGAGAAATTGCAGAACTGTAATGGTTTCTTTGCAACGCATCGCTATCCCCCTTTTCTAAAATTGCCACAAAGACATAGAATTTTCGTTCAATTTCCGACAGCGACGTGAAGCATGATGTCGCCGGAAAAACTTCTCGTGTCGGTGTTTATAAATGCTTGTCGCTTATTGTCGGCTTTGCCGTCACTGTCGCAATTTGGCCGAGGGAGGTTGTCTCTTATCACGATTTCACTTTACGCGCTGTCGCTACTTTTAGGGCCATGTCGCTTGTCGGAATTTACCCTGGAAGGGCCTCTTTACAAACACCTACACGACACGTTTTAAAATTCAGACGAGCGACATGAGACCCCCCCTGGCAGGGCCTCGTGATCAGACGAAAATATCGAGAGTTTTGGCCAAAATCTTATTTAGAATTCAAGACAATTGTAGAAATCCAGTAAAATAAATCATCATATGAGGAAAACACTATTCCACATGATATTTTCTCTTCACATTTTCAATGTACGAATACCAGAGATATAAACACTGAAACTTACGAGTAGTAATTAGCTCGGTCGTAAAACGATTAAACCGGGCATTTTCCCGTAAGGTAGATTCAAGACTTACCTTCACAAAGATCTCCAACATTACAGTGAAAGAAAGTCGTTGCCTAAATTCACTCGCAACTCGATAACTCAAAGAAACGTAGCCTGTTTTTCATTGATCGTTTCCTGTCTGGCGGTGAGTGGTCTCCTTCCCTGGCGCTGTTTGTGTCGTCACGCACCACACCGGGTGATGACAAGTAATGTGCAAGGGACAGGAGCGATCGGCTAGTTACGTCCCAGAGGGGCTGGGGCAGGGGGGGCGGGTGGGGGGTGATGTGGGCCTAGATTTTTTTTCCTTTTTAATTTTTTAGAACATAATTTTTCAGGGGGTCCATTTTGAAAATGTAGAAAACGTGACGGGGGTCGAAATTTTAAGACAGAGGATTACCATTCTATGTAAAAGTTGTCAAACCATATTATAATTGAAGAAAATAGACGTTCCCTGACGTTCCTTTCTGGTACACAAAAAATCTCGCTGGCCATGCTTCGCCGGCAACAAACCGCAGACCTCGTTTTCTGCAATTATTCTTCTTATGTGTCAATTCTTTTGACCTCTGCGGAACAAACTCCAGCAATGACAAAAATTTAATTTTACCAGGACACCGACCGACAAGCCACGTGAACGACTTCTTTAATGCTAAACTGGCCATACCTGATAAAGAAACCTCTGCGCACGGTACACTTTCCCTTCCTCGATTTTTCTCGAACTTCACACCTTTTCTTAATTCAGCTGAGAGACGCGTTCACCTTCACATAGATGTATGTATCTTCAAGCTAGAAAGCCTGTGAAACTTATAACAAGTCTCAAACTAAGTTGGGATCGCGAAAATGACATACTTGCCTAAAAGTGACTAAGATGGGGTCTATAATTAGCCACAGAATAGACTATCATGGGGTTGAGACTCTGAGAGGCCAGCGGCACATATCCAGCAAAACTTAACCCAAGTACCCCCTCCCCGGGTAATCGTGACCTTTCTACCGCTTACGGCAGGCGGTGTCGATTTACTGTGCGGGTAGCCTGCGAGCAAGTTCTCCTATTTGGGTAAGCGAAGTGAGCCTCGCGAGAACGCGCGAGCGAGGGGGCCGAGGGGCCGGCCCCTCGCGGCTTCGCCGCTCGCTCGCGTGTTCTCGCGAGACTCGCTTCACTCGCCCAAATAGGAGAGCTTGCTCGCAGGCTACTGTGCGGGACTCATTACCACCGTTGGTAATAACGTCTCTAAAAACTACGTTCTCACGCGGACAAAACTAGGGCTGGCAATCTCTATGTTTGGAGCGCCCATATAAACCAACAAAAGCTGGTTTGAGGTCGATGTACAAATCGAGCGCATAATCTGTTTAGCGATAAGAAATTTACCGCAAAAACCGGTGACGAAGCCTGTTGGTTGTCTACGTGAGATTATTAGCCCGGGCGCAGGCTCCAGATGTTGACGAGAAAAAAAATGACAAGAAAAAAATGCACTGTAGGCGAGCCGCGAAAAAAAAAAGAAAAAAAAGGAAGTACAATCAATAAAATAAAATACTTGCTCTGTTGTCT